GAGCAAAGTTTGGTAGGCCATGTTGTAGATGTATTTCACCCACGGCAGCCAGCGAAGCCACTGACGGGGCCGGTCACCGGTGAAGCAGCGTAGGTACATGACAATGACGCAGTTGGCGGCCTCCGTCTGGCCATCCGATTGTGGATGAAAAGCTGTTGTCATGTGCAGCTTGGCGCCCATGAGGCGCATTAGCTCCCTCCAGAACTTGGAAGTGAACACCGGATCGTGGTCGGACACCATCGATTGAGGCACGCCGTGGAGTTGAACAATGTCGGTGAAGAAAGCCTGGGCCATGGACTCTGCTGAATACAGGTGAGCCAGGGGAATGAAGTGGCAATACTTGTTGAAGCGATCAGCCACTGTCAGGATGACAGATTTTCCCCCGATGCGCGGCAGCGCCTCCACGAAGTCCAAACCGCCTTCGAGACCGGCAACGGCATGAGCAGGCTAGCCGGATGTAGATGTTCCGATTTGTATCGCTGGCAGGTGGAGCATACTCAAACGTAGTCCTGGACCATGCGACGCATGTTGGGAAAGTGCAAGTTGCGGTGAAGGCGGTGCACCGTGCGCTGCACACCCTCGTGGCCGTCCTCGTGCACAGCGGTCATGATTTTCGGCAATAGTGGTGATGCCGGCGGAACGTAGAGGTGGGAATCATAGGCCACCATGCCATCGATGAGGGACCACGGCGCTGCCCGGGTGCCTGTAGTGATCTCGTCCCTGATGGCGATGAGGGCCGGATCAGTGTCCTGAGCCTGGCGGAGGCGCTCGATGTAGTCGAACTGAGGCGCGGAGATGGCGAGGACAGCGCCCTCTTCAGTGTAGCGGTGTGAGAGGGCGTCGGCCACCGTGTTCGTGGCGTCGCTTGTACTCAACGGTAAAGTCGAACCCGAGGAGCTTGCTGACCCAATGATGCTGTGGGATCGTCGCGAGGCGCTGGTCGAGGAGAAATTTGAGGCTGTAGTGGTCCGTGCGCACCAGGAAGCGACGTCCCCAGAGATATGGGCGCCAATGATGGACGGCATGGACGAGGCCGATCAGTTCGCATTCGTAGGCGGCGAGGGAACGGTGTCGCGGCACGACGAGCCGGCTGAAGTAGGCAAGCGGGTGTTTCTCCTAGATGAGCACCGCCCTGAAACCGTGGGTCGATGCATCGCACTCGACGACGAACGTCTTGTCGAAGTCCGGTAGGGACAAAACCGGAGCTGAGGTGACCGCGGCTTTGAGGGCCTGGAATGCCGCGGTGGCATCGGTGGTCCAGCGGAACCCTTCCTTCTTTAACAGCGCCATGAGGGGAGACGCAATGGTGCCATAGTCGTGGATGAACTTGCGGTAGTACCCCGCCAAGCCAAGGAAGCCCTGTACTGCACGTGCCGAGCGTGGCTAGGGCCAGTCACGAACCGCATGCACCTTGGCAGGATCCATGGCGACGCTGGCCTTGGTGATGACGTGCCCTAGGTAGGAGATGGAGCCAACCCCAAAAGCGCACTTAGAACGCTTGACGAAGAGCCGGTGCTGCTGCTGCACGATGAGGACGGCACGGAGGTGCCGGAGGTGATCCGCCCAAGATGAGCTGCAGATGAGGATGTCATCAAAAAACACGAGCACAAACCGACAAAGGAAAGGGCGCAGGACATCGTTCATCAGTGCTTGGAACGTGGCCGGAGCGTTGCACAGCCCGAACGGCATCACCAGAAACTCGTACAGCCCGTCATGTGTGCGGAATGCCGTCTTGGCGATGTCGGCGGGGCACATGCAGACCTGGTGGTAGCCTGAGCGGAGGTCCAGCTTGGTGAAGAACTTGGCGCTGTGGAGTTCGTCTAGCAACTCATCAACCACCGGGATGGGAAAAAGCATCCTTGACGGTGATCGCGTTCAAGGCACGGTAATCGACACAGAAACGCCACGACTCGTCGGCCTTCTTGACGAGGAGGACCGAGGAAGAGAAGGCTGAGGAGCTCCGACGTATGAGCCCCTGGTCCAGCATGGCGGCGCATTGCCGCTCCAGCTCGTCCTTGTGCGTCGCCGGGTACCGGTAAGGGCGGACCACCACGAGCTGCGATCCTGGCAGGAGGATGATGCTGTGGTCGCGGCTGCGAGGAGGAGGCAGCCCATGGGGCTCGGCGAAGATGTCGGAGAAGGAGTCGAGGAGCTCATCCAGTAGGGTGGCGCTGGCAGTAGTCGTGTGGAGGCCGGGTGCGTCAGGGCCAGCCATCCCGTGCCAGCAGACGTCACGCGCGTGCCTCTTGAATGTCATCGTCCGGGCGCGGAAATCCTAGAGGATCGGCCCCAACGTCGCGAGCCACTGCGTGCCGAGGACCATGTCGTAGCCGGCGAGAGGCATGACGAACAGGTTTGTGGCGAAGGTGTCACCGCTGATGGTAAGCGCGGCTTGGCGGATGACGCCTAGGCAGGAGATGCGCTCGCCGTTGGCCACCGTGGCCGTCAGGTGAGGACGGTGCTGCAGAGGAAGTCCTATGCGCTGTGCGGCTGCCTCGGAGATGAAATTGTGGGTCGATCCAGAGTCGAGGAGTGCGATGAGAGATGTGTCGCCCAGCGTGACCTGGATTTGCATCGTGTCGCTGAAGTGGACGCCGGCGATGGCGTGGAGCAAGAAGTGGGGGCTCGTCTCGATGGCGCCCTCTTCGACGTCATCGTCGTCCTCCACAATGCCCTCCAGCAAGAAAAGGCGCTTGCAGACCCGGTTATGCCCCCGGCCGAACTTCTCGTCGCAATTGTAGCAGAGGCCCAAGCGACGACGTTCCTCCTGCTCGGCTTGGGTGAGGCGCTTGACCGGCCAGCCCTCCACGGTGACTGTGGCCGGGGCGGTTGAGTTGTTCACGGGCGGCACCGACAGAGCAAGACGCGGTGCGGGCGCCGGTAAGAGTGCTCGGGGCGTCGCGCCAGGTGGAGGCGCCGCGTACTGCTCCCGTAGTTTGAGCTTGCGTGCCAGGTTCATAGCTCCGGTGAGGGACTACGGATTATTCACCTCGACGTCGAAGCTGAGTGGAGGTTGGAGCCTCGCGGTGAAGAGTTGGACCCGTTGTTCCTCGTCCAGATGGCCCGCACGAGGGAGGATCGCTTGGAAACGATCCTGGTACTCCACGACGGTGCTCGTGCGCTTGCACGCCGCCAATTCGCCGAGCGGGTTCGAGCGCAGAGGAGGTCCGTAGCGCAGGTGCAGCAGGTCCTTGAAGCGGCGCCACGACGGAATCCCCTCGTCCTGCTGTATCTGGAGGTACCACTTCTGGGCACCCTCCTCCAGATTGTAGGAGGCCATCCAAACCTTCTCCTCCTCCATGATGCGCTGCTAGTGGAAGTAGGATTCGCAGCGGTTAATGAAGATGAGCGGATCGGATTTGCCGTCATACCGCGGGAAATCCAATTTCTGGAACTGTGGCGGCCGGTCCTGGTGGTGCTCCCCGGTGGCGGACTTGTTGCCGGAGGAAGACGACGTCGGCTGGGCAGCGTTCAGGCGTTGGATCGCCTGGGAGTTGGCATCGACTGATGCCTGCAGAGACTTGAGGGTGGCGGCCAGGGCGTCCAGAGTAGCCTGGAGGGCGGCCTCCCAGTCTCCCATGACAGCGGCTTGGTGAGGGGTGGGCGGGGCAGAAGTAGCTTGGAGCGACGGCGGAGGCGAGGATGATCGGCGAGGCGAGGAAGGCCTGGATCGTGATACCAGGTTGTCAAGAACGTCAAGTCCGAGAGAAGCGGGACCCCGGCTACGGAGTTCGTAGCCGCGACCCGTGGTAACGGGGCGAGGTTTTGCCCCTCAGCTCCCAGTCGGTTTAGAGAAAGAAGAAGAGAGATTAGGTACTAATTCTTGCTTGATTATTAATCATCCTAAATATCCTCATATATAGGCTATTCTGCACTACAAACTGGAGCTAATTGATCCTAATTCTAAGGCCTTGATCGGCTGTTACTTCCTTCTAGCCACTTGCCATTTCTTCCTGATTTGCATGCCTGGTGACCACGCCCACATCTTCAGCTGGCACGCCTGCCTTCCTGGTGACCGCGCCCAAATCCTCAGTGGCTCTGCGGCCATCCCGGGCGCGCCGTTTCCTTGTATAGGCGTGGCCCCACATGACACAAAGTACCCAGGTGCACTGGAAATACTCACTGGAGCTGAACTGCTGGGAGACATGTCCACCATCATGTAACACTGCTGAATCATTGAGTCACCAAGTTGAGATAATCTTCTTCTGGAGCCATAATAAAGTAATCAGTTTCAAGCTTGCCTCCTGGATCTGGCAAGGTGAATCTAGTGGACAATGTCACCGCTTTAGCTTAGTATCTGGGTAACAGGTAGTACTAGATTAATACGGCGGCTATCCGATCAATTATTTATGCACCAAGTCAAACAGCTAAGCCTTAGGGCTAGGTTGCACTAGATATCATTATATTTGGCATTACTTGTGAAAAGGTGAATCACAAATAATGCGAAATATACCTTTAAACGTCATGTAACATGTAAGCTTAATAAAACTACAGAAAAGCAACCTTCCAATTGCTGGGATGGAGTTAAATTAACAGTCAAATGGAAAACATCTGTGGTGCTGGTAACACGTGCTGCTCCAAATGCCGTAGCAAGATGAAACACCATACAGACATAAACTAGGTTTTTTGAACTTAGATCACGCCAAAATTGATGTACAACTTGACCAACTAATACTACGAAAATGTGGATCTTATAGCAAACAATTAATAGCTCAGACAATCTGGTTTGCATGTTATAAAATGCACAATTGCAAATTGATATCTCAGCCATTGGTAGAGGATCCAATAAATCAAGTGAATACCATTTTTATTTTTGAAGATGGTGCAAACCAATTTACTAAATCAAATAGAATGGTATAGCATTTTTGTTATAAGTCAGCAACACTCTTTAAGTAATAAGAATGTCTAATATGACTATGCAGATGCCATTCATTCAAAGAATACATTTCGGCAAATCAATTTTGTTTGTAAAATATAAGTCAGCATCTTTGAATAGCGATTCAAGGAGAATCTGAAAAAGTGATTTTTGACTGTGCTATTCAGTTCAAAACAACACTGACATGCAGACAATACACAAACCTGTGTCGATAAAGCTCAACTGTAACACCATGTTGAGCTTCCCAACTTTGTTAAGTGTTAACACATATTCAGTTACCTCAGACCCAATTATTTTGTACAGTACATAGTTCTCCTTATCTGTGAAGTAGCCAGTTTCAGGTTTCATCACCAATGTTCCAGATCGATTACAATGCTGCAGTAAAAATAAAAGAATTCCATCGCATTCAAAAAAAAAAATTCCTGAAAAGCACCAAAATGGTTGAAACATCCAAATCCGAAAGGTAATATAATTAACAGACTAACATTTTACTAAGAGAGGCGATTCTGACATACCTGAAATCTACTAATAAGCTGTAACTGGGTGCCACTGACAGTCTGACACCCACAAACTAACACAAATACAACAAGTTCTTTGATAACTTCGGAGAACGAGTATTCTCCTCATATTTGAAAATTATCTATTCTTGTACATCAACTCTTCAATGAAGGGAATAGTTCAGATGTACTGTACGAAAACAAAGCTCCCTTATCTTTACAACATGTCATCACCTACAATCTAGACTAAAGTCAGCCAACGTCAAGTGTGCCCTCAATAAAATTAAGCTGGCCGGAAATCAATGAATCAAGAATCTATAGTTGATACCCCTTATAGTTCTACCATGTTCAACTTTACATGGACGCCATCAACTGCATACTTCCAATGCCAGGTTCCACTGTCCATCAGATCGTCGCGTATAAGATCCAATTTAACAACAAAACCTGTTGGACAAGAAGGAATTCATTCATCAGGAACGTTGGGTGCATGACATAATAGTGGGGTGGGGGAGTAAAGATAGAAGCGAACTTTCAACCCAAAAATATTTTATTTTTATGCATGTATGCATGAATCTTTTCTGAAATCTAACTATTACAACAACAACAACAACAACAACAACAACAACAAAGCATTTAAGTCCCAAACAAGTTGGGGTAGGCTAGAGTTGAAACCCAGCAGAAGCCATCAAGGTTTAGGCACGTGAATAGCTGTTTTCCAAGCACTCCTATCTAAGGCTAAGTCTTTGGGTATATTCCATCCTTTCAAGTCTCCTTTTATTGCCTCTACCCAAGTCAACTTCGGTCTTTCTCTGCCTCTCTTCACATTACTATCCTGGCTTAGGATTCCACTATGCACCGGTGCCTCTGAAGGTCTCCGTTGGACTATTACTACTCTTAATGAGAACGAAATTTGACCAAGTTATATCCATTGCACATAATAGCAGGAATAAAATGATTCACACTTCAGAACACAAATTTGTAATTAGAATGGATAATTGACCTAAATGGCTATATCTAGTGGGCGGCTGGAGGCCAACAAATTTCACAACTTGCAAAGTAAAATCTAAAATGTTCACCCACTCATCAACTTGCAAATGAATAAAAAAGAGCACAGAAAGAATCATAGGCCACTGCTAATTAACAAACCTGCTCTGTCCTGAATGATGCACATTCTATGACCATTGGGTACTTCAAATACATGGTTACCCTAACAAAACAAGGGGAAAAAATAAGACAAAGAACAACAAATCAAAAAAATATGCTGTCTATTAATAATTGCACCTTCAAGACTACATCTTTTGCCTCAAATTCTGAGTTTCCATGAAGAATAATCTTTACAGATTCTGATCTCTCCACATCATGCTTCCAATAGACATTATTTGGAGAAGTCCAGTTGATCCCTTCGTTCACAATTTTAACACTTTGAAGTCTGCATCTCCCGCACCTTTCAACAAACGTGGCATTAGAGTTCCATACTAACTGGATAGATGTTTATAGCAACCATGTGTTTAAAAGTAGGTTACAACCTGGAACCATAGTGCAGTATCTGTTCACCATTTTTGTTCTTCTTGGTTGAACCCATGATGTTATCAGCTAGAATAATAAGGCTTCCATCCAGCTTTAAGAATTTAACATAACAAACTTAGTTTGTACAAACAGGCAAAGTAACATGAAAAATTATCGTTTTGATTGTTACCTCAACATCTTTCCATAGAAACTCAGCCACCTCTATTTGCAACTCTGAACCATTAGAAACAGAACCACCTACGAACTTCATGGAGACATTTTGGTGACCACCAAAAGTAGACAAGGCAAAGAATAGAACGAAAGATATAGACAATGTTTAGAAGTAATAAGTCAAGCACTAGCAACTGAGCATAACAGTCCGTAGAGGATCTTCCACACTACACAGGGCAGCATGGAGCAAGGACCAGCTTTCCCATCTCACAGAACGTTTGTAATGGTAATTCTACCGCATTTCCTTTTTTTATCTTTTTGACATGACACAAGCAATTAGTCTTTCATTCAATTTCAAGTTTCTTGTGCTGCAAGTGAACCATCTACAAACATTCACAACAGTTCATATCTTTCATGCACAACATGCTCAAGCTCAACGTTACATTTTATGCATATAAGATATTAGGAACATGCCATTATGTCACATTAGGTAACAGTGAAAGGTGCTTAGTCTGCGTTCAGATATTGCGGTAATGATATGTGCTGTCCCAAACAACAGAATGTTCATTTTTGACAGAATCCTTGGTATATGTAAGCTAAATGCAGATCAAAGAGTATACCATGACATGTGTCAAGAACTGTCAAATGATAGGTTTTGTTATGCTCAATGTTCATGAGTGATGGTAAGCAATTGCCTTGTCAGTCTTGTTGCTCAAAACTACATAGGCAAAGTGGACTACAAAGGAAAATAACTCTGCCCTTCTGAATCTTGCTTGGCCAGTTGCAGCTCAAAGACATCTCAGGTAGAATAAATTATCTAATAATGGGGAGAAGAAAGATACCGATATCATGTTTACCCATCAAATGCATACAATGCCTGGATGCCATACCTTTTGTCGTATGATATCCCAAAATGGGCCTAGAGCAGGATGAAGAAATATGAGAAATGGCGGTCCAGAATGCATATACTCGCTGTTGTCTTTAACCTGATGTTTGAAAATGTTTTAAATAAATTAAAAGAAAAACACTTCAGGACTAAAAAATACTTAAAATAGATTATGAGAAAAGATAGTCCAGCAAAATGCTGTAGGTAATACCACATGGAAGGCTAACTCATGCCAAATGTGAAATAAATTCATAGACAGACAAAGTACAGAAGTACAATTACCATGGGGATATCTATGCTGCAACTGGAAAGGAGGTCATGAGCATTACGCATAATGTCAAGGAGTGAACCCTCTGGAGTCTGTAGATCAACCAAAGTGTATATTTTGAAACATGAGTCAGAAATAATTTCAGCTAAGTTACAACTGCAAGTTCTATAACATAAGACTTAACAACAACATACAGATGTAATAGTTTCAGAAAAGATGTTATGTCAATATTATCATGCTATTATCAACACACCTTGTCTCCAGAAGAAATTAAGCAAGTAAACAGTTTTATCTCTGTAAGAGAATGGGCTGAGCTATCTAGCTGTAGGTGCAGAACTAATGCCACTTCATTAAGAAAATAAGGCCTGGCAGGCCCATTAGGGCCACCAAACTCATTCAAGTCAACATCAGCATATCAGGCAGCATACTTGGCGCCACACATTGCTGATTGCTGACCTACTGAACACAAAACTGAGGAACACAAAGTAACTAACAACACAAGACAATTTTACTTCTACAGTTTGTATGGAAAAGCAAGTTTGTGTGATTCACTGCTTTACAAAATGTACATCTACACAGGAATGTCGACAAAAAGTTTATTATTGTATATACTAAGGAAAGGTAGAAGGCCAGCATTGTTAATATGCAGTTCTGCACCGATTGGCATGTGAATCTATGCATTGGAAGACAGGGTAAAAATATTAACCTGGTGCAATGATCTGTCTTCTGATTTCAGCTTCCTTTTAGCTGATGAAGTGACTCTTTTCCTTTCATTATATACAATGAAAGTGTTAAGCTCACCTGTTAAATATGAAATAGCTAAAACTCAACATAACGAAGTGAATAAATAGCTGCACAGAAAAATTAATAAATCGGTTAACAAATGTTAACTACCTACATACTTTCTATTCCTTTGCTGCATCTGTAGTTATAAGTGTTCATAAAATCATCTGCAATGTTTTGCATTGTGCACTCTAGCCTGCCTCCAGTCGCACTGTCAAAAAAAATGATTGAAAAGAATAAGCAGTAGAATCATAATAAATGACTTAAAAGGAATAAGCAATAGACCATAATAATTAAATGTGACTTTCGTATATATGCCAATTTATTCCCACATACAAGTTACAAGACAACATCTTACAGAAGCAATTATGTCGTCAATACTCATCACAACGTAATAGTACATAAAGAGCATGCCAAGGCTGTGCGTTTGGCAGTCTCAAAAACTGGCTTTGGCCTGCAATCTAGCTCAACTTGGCAAGGATTTTCATGCCCACGCTGGTGAGACAAATTGGCTCTCATGCGCAGGCAAGGTTGGCTTTGCTGGCATTGTTCCTCTCTGAACAAGCTCCTCCGCATCCACTGGAGTGACAGTCCCTGCTGAATCAATGCCTTCCCACCGGATTAATGAACTCACAGCGCTTATAAAGCAACTTGTGGTAAAAACCGAGCACCTTGTAGTTGAAATCGAGCTTCCTTGTTTGAATCGGCGCCTTCACTTCAGAACCCAGCACCTTGTGATGCAAGTTGACCTCCACATCGCTGGGCCATGGAGTTGACACTGGGATCAAGTTTCTTGTTCCACAAACCTCAAAAAGGACTTGCTGCTTGGCAGCAGAAGGATAGGTGGATAGCAATCTACTGCTACCCATCAAACCAATCTACACAAGCGCAAATTAGCTGCTCTCCGGCCAGTGAAACTCAAGTCCAAATTCGTGCTGCTCTCCCCCGAATCAATCATCACAAACTCCAATTGATGCTGCTTCCTTCCCTGTCGTGGCTCGAATAGATGCAGGAATCGGCCAGGATCTGATCTCCACCGCATGCCTTGGCAGCTGAGTGCATATGCAGGTTCTAACTGCTGGAGAAGAAGATAGAGGGGAAGCAAGGCAAACTACTCCAAAATGTGATTCTGATTGTAGTGCTGTAAATTTTGGGTGTGTTTGGTTCTCTTCCTCCACTCATGTTACCTCGCTGCACTTGCCTCACCTTGCCAGGTGATTTACGATTATACAATTTGTTATATATACTTCTATCATAGTATTAAGAACAGGGTCCAGTTTGAACACTTTTCATGTTTAGGGGCCTATCTATTATCTATTATTCACTAGAAATAAGCATAGCCACCTCAGTGCAGTTACTTGCAGGTTTACTTGCCAATGTACATCAACCACAAAGCAATACAGAATGAGTTTAGGCCAAACTGATAAAGACAAGTCTTTTATACATGAATAACTGATGCGGCAAATGAATAGCCATGCTGACTTCTGAAATCATCATGTGATAACTGATAAGCCTAACCCTAAGCATTCACTACCAAAAACTCAAGGGTTGCCAGTGGGCATATAAACAATATTAGAAGTTTAAGGTGAATTACTGAAAGGAAATACCTACACTCAAAGCCGAGATGGTTGACGTACAATACTGCCTTTTTCAAATTTAGCACCATCCCTGGTAAGCAACTAGCATTTTTGCGGGATCCAACTTCCTCTACTGCTTGTAGATCAACATAGAGAATGTTCGTATTTGCTGGAAAGCTAACCTGCGAACTAAATTTAGAGAAACATATATGATAAAATAATTGATAAGATATTGCCAATATTGAACTGTAATCTTATAGAGAAAAATATCAGTCCTAAACACATCACTGGTTCTCTGCATCCAATCAAACTGACTGAACTGAAGCAGCTATTCTTTGAAAGAGGTAAGAAGCACGGAACACAAATGTTCTAAAACTATGATCATCATCATGTAATACCAACAAATGATTGCCATCCAGGTGAAGCTTAGTCCAACAAAATATTGTTGGAATATAAGTGAATTGCCCACCTCTCCCCAAAAGAGAGAGAGAGAGAGAGTATGTGCATACTTGCATTCCAATTTCAAGAGTGCATGGTTTTTATGCAGCTGAGAATGACCTAAAGAAATATTACCTGCTGGTTACTGTAGGTTCTGGGATGCCATACTTTTCAAACTCAGTGTACTCAATACAAGTGATGCCATATGACCATAGCCCCTCAAGATTTTGTTTCTCAATAAGGACATTCACTCCTTCAGTAGCCCCCGGTCTTCGCTCACAAGATGCAAAACCTAATTTCTGAAGCATGATGTCAACTCAAAGAGTTTCAAACAACAGACTACCAATTTGATGGTGCAAAAATAGACATTATATAATGACTTGTATCAGAGACACACGGGAGCCACCTCAAAATAGGATAGTACTTAATGCCTTTTCTTTTACCTTATTGCATCGAAGGCCTATTCCTGCCAATGCCATCACGGTCAAATCAGTTGCAGCAACCACATTGCTGAAAATAACAAACAAAATCCACAATTATATCCTGTCAAAATGCTTTTTCAAAAAAAAAATATATATCCAGTCAAAATGTTTTATTGATTGACACCCCAAAAAGGAAAAGAGATCATTCAGCGGACAACCTGACTTGGCGTACAGTTGCACCTTTTCTGCCACAATTTTGTAAACCATTGAGTACACCTCTATCATATGCAAGTTTCCAAATAGCGCCATGACCACCAGGTTTACCAACAGGAAAAAATGATTTGCTGACTAACCATTTACCATCCTCGGCGTTTACTACAGGTACCAAAGGCTACAGATACCATTGAAGAAATTTAGTAAGAGCTTCATAAAACTTGTGGGCAGAATGATTAAATTCCGATTCTACAGACTACAAACGAACACTCTAATGGATGGATATATTATATAAGTCCCTGGTTATATACCTGTTCGAACAACCGGAAATTGTCACGGCCTCTACCAAACCAATCAAGTCTTTCACATATTGCAATTATATGTTCATGATTATCCTTCACAGAACTAGTCATGATTGCAACTGGGGTTATACATTGACCTCCAAAGATCTTGAAGTGGAGAAACTCTCTAGCCTGCCAAACAAAGTAGCGCTTCACATTATTATATAATAACTGGGTATAGAGCTTTATAGCTATTTTAAGCCTTTACAAACATAACTAATCCAAAAATAACAAGGCACTTACACAACCAAAAAGCAATTGAAAAAACTAGCTGCAACAATGATATCCCTTTCTTAAGCGGACATGATCAAAGTGTGTAAAAACAGGTGTTACAGTAGAAGAAACTATATGCAAAGAAACATATTGTATGTAGATACCATAAGTCGGTAAAAAAAGAAACTACATGCAAAGAGGAATTTCATATGCACAACAAGTTACCTGCAGATCCCTTATCAGCCCTTCCAACAGAGATCTCCCACAGTAAGGGAGCAACGCAGCAGGAAGGGATTCACCAGTATCTGAGTCCACTAAACCAAGACGATCACCCGCACCACCAATTGGGTAAATTTCACCTAGTTCTGGCAAACCCTAGAAAACATCATATTTCAGTTTGTACCTTACAACAGAATACAGATGCCTTATTTAATGTGCAACATTACTCAATGTAATTTGCACTTGAAATAAGAACAGTAACCAAGTATTGACATCCTTATCGTAAATTTCAGATAATGTCGTAATGTTGTAAACGAAATAACCTCAATTCCCCACAGAGCTGCTTGAGATGCATATTCTTTATCCTCCAACAAATTAAGTCCACTGGGAACATGGAAATCAACAAACTTGTCTTTGCTAGGTCGGTGCATGTGATCCTTAGAGGCTGAAAGGAACTCCAATGCCATAATTTGATAGCTGACGTGGATAAAGGAAGTAAAGAACATCAATACTACTAATACTCTTCTAGATATAACAGATTAACAACCAGATAAACAAAATGGCTTAAGGGGATAAGTTAGAACTAGGGATGCACGTCTTGTTTTTTTTTTTTTTGGTCATTGGGTCGACCCAAAACTCATCTGATTGAACTGATCCGGATTTCAAAGCAAGGGGACCGAGATAAAATTGAACTAGTTAAACGTCCCACTAGGTGTAACCAGTTGCATCCTTTGTTAGGGCCATCCAGTTAATGTTAATCAAATGTGTTCGAAGGTTCATAGTTTCAAAACATGACTCAACTCACCTTCCCGTATGACTGCAATTTTAAATATGATGCCATAGCTCGTAAATGCTGTTACTACTTTGCACCTTTTTCAGTTACTAACTTCTGATTCCAGCACGTATCAAATTTGGCTACTTGTGCTACTTCGTCGTTTACTCCCACATACAAGCAAGCAATGCTCACCCGATGATGCCTCCAATGCAGTCGTAGAACTCCTCGATGTTGTCAAGGAACTTGAGCAGTCTAGGGAGCACCCCCATTTCCTCGCTCCCCTTCTCGCCACCCACCACTCCCTCCGAGGTCCACTTCCCGACCAAACCGGCCAGGCTATACAGCGCATCCCGCAGGGCACTCCCACCCCTCGCCCCGTTGCGGTGGTGGTGCTCGTGGTGGCCGTCGCCGCCGTACCAGTCGAGCTCACGGCCGAGCACGTGCTCCTGTCCTGCCGCGACGAGGCATTTCAGCAGGAGCACCTCGCGGGGCTCGAGCGCGCCCAGCACCCCGCGGCTCGACTCCTTGCCGAAGAACGCCGCGACGCGGGGCTCCGCGTCGAGCGCGCGGAGCTTGTCACGGAGCGTGCGCGCCGCGCGGAGCCTCTCGCGGGCGGCGGAGAGGCGCGCGACCTCCGCGGCGATCGCCGGGTCCCGGCGGGGCTGCGGCTGCGGCTGCTGAGCTGGGGGAGGCGGCGCGGGCGCGGGTCCCGGTGGTTCGCGTTCGATCGGCGCGGTGGAGACGCCCTGCGAGCGCGAGGCCGGCGAGGGGGACGGCGATGGCAGCGCGGAGAGGAGGCGGCTCCGTCCGCCGCGGCAGCGCGGGGCGCGCGTGTGCGGGAGTGGGAGGCGCGGCGAGGAGAGGGACGCGGCGTGGAGGCGGAGGTGGGGAGGAGCAGGAGGGGTGGGCGCGCGAGAGGCCATGTGTTTTGGTGGTGGGCAGTGCCGCAGTGCGGCAGTGGGGAGGGAGCGGGCGGGTGGGCCGGCGGGTAGAGCCGTAGAGGCGACGAGAGCGGGATGGGGAGCCGGGGAGGGGATAACAGGAGCACACCGTGACAGCGAAAGGCCGAGGGGCGGACGGGCATATGCTCTCGGGCGATACGGTGTGCCTACTGGATTCTTGGGTGCCCACGGTGCGCGGGGCCGCGCGTCGCGGTCGCGGTCTCGCCGAGCCGGGACGAGGACAAAAGGGAGATGGTTATTGGCTTATGGGCTGTGGCTGCGCGCGTCGGCCGACTGGTGAGTTTTGTTGTGTTTGATGATTGGGCTTGGGCCCTGGAGGACAAGGAAGAAACGTGGCCCATACTTACCGACCTTCTTTATCAGAATTCCCAGGTGTAAGGTGTTTGTGCAAGATTTATGTGGGTATAATACAAAATGATGTGTTTGTGCAAGATTTATGTGGGTATAATACAAAATTTGACATAACTGGATGAGATCAAAAGAATTCATCTGCACGCGGTGCGTTTTGCGTTAGAAAGAATCCTTGGTTGCGCAAGCCAAAACTTTCGCGCACTTTTCATTGTTGCGCGATCAATCTTACCCGGGCAGGCCACTTCGGAGTTCGGAGACCGGTTTCATTACTCCAAAGTTACAGATTGAGGCCACAACACCAAATTCACCAAAGACGGAAAAAAAACAGAGGAAATTGAGAACGTGCGGATGCTGGTCACTTCCTCCGACCATCCGGCGTGGCAACGCATGAGGCATGACACCGACCTTCGACGCGTGTGCCATAACCCCGTACGTGCGTGCCCCTCCCACGCATCACGCATGCACTATATAATGTCACCTGTGCCTTTGCCCCGCAAACCATACCAAGGGTGCCAAGCAGTCAAGCACGCCAACCTTCGACAGCACGAAGCAATGGCACGAGCCCTGGCAGCAGCCGTCGCGTTCTTCCTCGCCGCCTTGCTCCTCGCTTCGACTCTGGCCACCGCAGCGCCGACGAGCGGCATCCCGGCCGTGTTCGCGTTCGGGGACTCGACGCTGGACCCGGGGAACAACAACGGCCTGGCCACGCTGGTGCGCGCGGACCACGCACCCTACGGCTGCGGCTTCCCGGGGGCCGCGGCCACGGGCCGGTTCTCGGACGGCAAGCTCATCACCGACTACATCGTGGAGTCGCTCGGTGTCAAGGACGTCGTCCCGGCGTACCGCGACAGCGGCCTCACCGTCGCGGAGGCCTCCACGGGGGTCAGCTTCGCGTCGGGCGGGTCCGGCCTCGACGACCTGACCGCGCAGGCCGCCATGGTGTCCACGTTCGGCTCGCAGATCGGCGACTTCCAAGACCTGCTCGGCAAGATCGGAATGCCCCAGGCTGCCGAGATCGCCAGCAGGTCGCTGTACGTGATCTCCGCCGGCACCAACGACGTCACCATGAACTACTTCATCCTGCCAGTCCGGACCGTCAGCTTCCCCACCATCGACCAGTACAGTGACCACCTCATCGGCAGGCTCCAGGGATACATTCAGGTACGTTTTGAATCAATCTAGTTATTAATGGTAAGACTAGCTAGTAACTTTTATCGCTAATGATGGTGTTTATTTTCCTTAACTAACAATCCAGAGCCTGTACAATCTGGGAGCCCGGAACTTCATGGTGTCCGGCCTGCCGCCGGTGGGGTGCCTGCCGGTGACGAGGAGTCTCAATCTGGCGTCGGGAGGAGGCTCCGTCGCCAACCAGAACGCGGCCGCGGAGCGGTACAACGCGGCGCTGCAGCAGATGCTGACCAAGCTGGAGGCCGCGTCCCCCGGCGCCACGCTTGCGTACGTCGACGTGTACACCCCGTTGATGGACATGGTCACGCAGCCCCAGAAATATGGTGAGCGGCAACAGATCCACAGCCTGCGGAAATAAACTAGGCTAGCTAGATCGATTGAGCTTGAGCACCTGCTGATTCGTCTTTGCTGCGTGCGTTGCAGGTTTCACCGAGACGAGCCAAGGCTGCTGCGGGAACGGTCTGCTGGCGATGGGGGCGCTGTGCACCAGCGCGCTGCCGCAGTGCCGGTCTCCGGCGCAGTTCATGTTCTTCGACTCGGTGCACCCGACGCAGGCCACCTACAAGGCGCTCGCCGACCACATCGTCCAGTCTCACATCCCGCAGAGTTAGATTAGCTGGGTTTTGTAGGAACGGCAATGACATTGTGTGTGAAGCTGGTTCGGTGCTTATAGGAGATTAATTAGGAGATTGAGGTAGTTAGGAGATATAGGATTTGTATAGAATGAAAAGATATTCAGTCACGATGTTTACATAGGGAAGTTAATTGAACAAAGTTCTGAGTACTTGAAGGGCCTGTTTGGATCACAACTCGGTTATTATAGTTTGAATTATGCGTGAGCCATTGGCCTCTGTGACATCATATAGGCATGTTCCATGCGACATTGAATCTTCTTTGATATGCTACCCAAGCCATTCCCTGGAAAATTTACCGGCCTCTCAAACACGGTGATCGGCGGACATCCATGGTGCCCATGTGATCTTGTTTGTCCCAGATGAGTAACGGCAACGGGTAGGCAACATGGCTCAAAAGCGGGGCAAATTCATTTTTATTCATCGAGTAGTAGACTCCAACACATGAATCAATTCTTATCTCTCCTCCATGGTTCACTTCCTTCGGCGATGGGTTTGATTCATTCATATACCAACATCAGATGATACATCGCTTTGCTTTTCCTAGTGTTTTTTTCACTGGAGATGGCCTTAGTCATATTTTAGCTCATTGCTTCTATTTTTTCATTAGCTAAAACAAGCAAATTACAATCTCGCACGAGCAGTGAGAAACCCATCACATGCTCAACTTCTGCCGTTCTAAGCAAACTAAGCATGAAGATCTAGGAAACAAACACGCAATACTTCAAAGGTATGGAGCGAACAATCAACGAATAAGGCTACAAGTGGGTTGTTATAGGGCATTAGCATACATAAGTAAGCTAGCTTACATATTAGGTACTGTAGTTAAGTTACACAGTTCAATAAAGGAGTCAAGATGCTTAGAGCCTAGCTTGGGATCAACTTGGGGTTTATCTGGTTCATGTTCAGTAGCAAACTTAACTTCCTGCTCAACATTTGTCTCCTTGGTTGCTTCGGTTACTATATGAGTGCAAACAGTATCCTTCAACTTAACTTCCTGCTCAACATTTGTCTCCTTTGTCCCTCTAGATGGGCGAATAGTATCCCTAAACTAGTTGGGACTTATGTAGATAAGGTCCTTCCCTAATGTGGTCTCATGGAGTGGCCAGCGAGGCGCCGAAGTAGCATCTCCGATCGAAGAGGAGATGTGACTATGAGAGGCTACAGGCAGTGGAGAGAGGGCGTTAGAGGCATCAGGGTGGAAGGTTGAAAGCCAGGGCACGGTTTTACACTACTGGAAACTCGAATTGTTCTGTGGGTGTTTAATTTTTCTGTGCTTTTTTTTGGTACGCACAAAAATTACGATTTTTCTGTCGGTTCCAAAATATCCCGATAGAAAAATACGAAAACCCATAGAAAAGATTTTTCTGTGTGTGACAATATACACACGGAAAAAATCAACACTCTCAGAAAAATACAAATTATTGTGTCGGTTCTTAAAAAACGCATAGAAAAATATACGTACACACAGAAAAATTCAAACGAGCAGGACCCTCCCTTCTTCTTCCCTTAATTCCTCCGCACCCCAACCCCAACGCCCCCTCCCCCTCCCTTCTTCTTCCTCCGCCCCCAAAAACCCGAACCCCCCGGCACAGACCGACCCCGGCGCTCCTCCCCTCCTTCTTCTTCCTCTTTTGACCAACCCCTAGCCCCCCTCCCTTCTTCTTCCTCCGCACTTTGACCCCTAGCGCCCCCTCCCTTCTTGCGGCACGGCCCCTTCTTCCCCTCCCCCCCGCGCCCTCCCTTCCTTCTTCGCCCCCCTCCCGGCCTTCTTCTTCTTCCCAGTAGCCCTCCTCGGCCTTCTTCTCGATCCGCCCTTCCCTCTCCCGGATCCGGCCGGTGGAGGCCGGATCTGGGCTCTGGTGGTGGCGGGCGGTGGGCGGCGGGCGACGTGCGGCGTGGCGGCAGGCTTCTTGGTGCTGGCGTGGTGGTGGTGATCCCTGGCGCCGCCCCTCCCCGGCCTTCTTCCCCGGCGCCGCCCCTCCCTCTCCCGGATCCGGCCCTCCCTCTCCCGGATCTGGCGGTGGAGGCCGGTGGCGGCCTTTTTTTTAATTCCATACTTTGCACAACACTACAGATCTGATTACACTCATTTCCAATCCGGTTGATCACATTCTGGATATAGGCTTGTTGTGTGCTCCAATGGTAAGATATCGACTCCATGTAGTTTGAAGTTTTTTAGTGTCAAATTCGTATTGAAGGCTAAGATCACTGTCAAAATTGGCAATTATCCCATCATATTGTCAATCTCATTTTAGAATTAGATGTGGTATGTAATGTGCAGTCAACATGAATTCTTTATTTCTCCAATAGCACATGATTGTCGTCCTACATGCATTTTTTTCTACTGCCTATAGTTAGCCACTTTATAGCTGCTCTGAAATTGTTGGTTGAATTTTTAGAGCTGCACATGAATGATTGTTCCATTATATATCCTGATATGGGCTGCAGTAGCAAGTTCCATGCATAAAAGTTGTCAAGTGTTAGCTAAAACATCACTGAAAAAATATTTGGTTTGATAAGATTTGGGAGGCTAGCATGTTGTTTAAATATTTATTTGCATGAATCTTAATTCATTGTTTACACATGTCTTTAGGACCATTTTAGTGTTTTGCACAACACTATAGATATGCTTTAGAGTTTCAGGAGTATGCTTATTTCAAGTTCCATACTAATCTGGCTTTGAAAACTGTTTTTAGTGTACATTTCTTGTTAAGTATGCACAGCTGTTAGGATTCACTGATTGATGCAGTCCTTTAATCATCGAACAGATAAGCGAGTGGGGAAAGT